CCCGTCGCCCTCCCGTCGAAGCCGGAACCTCTCCTCGGGCTCTCGTCGAACGTGGATCTCGTCGTCTCGCACTCCTCGAAGTCGGATCTGCTACCCTAGCTCCCGTCGCAACCGGATCTTCCCCCTCTCGTTCTCCTCGAAGCCGGATCTTCTCCTCTAGCCGCCGTCGGAGCGAAATCTTGTACTCTCGCTACCGTCAAAGCAAGATCTTCTCGTCTCCCTACCGTCAAAGCCGGTTCTTCACCGTTCGAAGCCATATCTTCTCTGTCTGAAGCCAGATCTTGCGGATCTTCTCGCTCCCGTCAAAGGCAGTTCTCTCCGCAGCCAGTTCTTCCGGATTTTCTTCAACAGACCACAAGGTTGTCACAAAACTTATTTACAATCTAAGTTTATATATTTTTTTAAATTCAGAGGTTATATATGTTAAAGTTTCAATTTATCTTGAACATCAATTGAGCTTCTCTTATGTATTAGCAGACTTAAGTTTTTGGTTATTTGTGCTTTAACTGTTTCTGTTTTTAGGTTGTGGTTTACTGTATTGATTTGATCTCCTTAATGAAGTTGCTCTTGGATTATCATTTTGGTTTCTGGGCTTCATTTTTTGTTGCTTGCTACTGCTGCGTTAGTTTGGAGTACTTGATTTTTTGTTGCTAGCTGCTGCCTTGCTCAATTATTTTTTGGAATTGGATGTTTCTGAGCTCACATATATAACTTATTTCATTTTTTTTGACTTTATTTGAGGGAAATTTATTCATTTTTTTTTTACTTTGTTTTTGTAAATAGATTTTTCTTTCCCAAATAAAAAAGAATCATTTTTATTTAGTTGCTTTATTTTTTAAAATAATTAATTATTTTTTGTGTTGGTATTTCCTTTTGCAATATGATATGCTACATTTAAGTCAATTCAAATTTCTCCAATTATATTTCATGCTCTCTTTCCTAACCATGAGTACCTTCACAGCAAATTCTGCTAGAACCAATATGCTCATGTAACTCATCACAATAGTTTACTTGTTTTTCTTAGATGTACATTGTAATAGTTTATATCTTTCCTTTCAAATTTGATTTTTCAAATTATCCTATACTGCAATTTGAGCATAAGAACCTGTCACCTACTCATCTTTTATCTGTCGAAATTAACAAAAATAATCCTATTATTAATCCCTTCATATTAAAAAAAGTACCTACTCATCTTTCTTCTGTCGAAATTAACAGAAACAATCCTATTAATAATCCACTTTGCTTTTCATTCAAAGTCTCCCAATTTCCTGCAACAAATCTTATTATTTTTTTTTATTTAGTTAACCTTGCCCACTTTTCAACATAATTTTGTTAAATGAAATCTTATCGAATCATTGTTTATTCTTTCATCACAATTGAATTACGTTATGACTTGCCATTTATTGATGTGTCCTATTATAAGTTTCTCAATTTCCTGCAAGAAATAGATTTTGTTAAATGAAACCTTTATGAGAAATAAATATTATTTAGGAAGATTTACAAACGTATCACTCAATTTTTATATTGTGTATTTCACATTTTAAACGTTACAATAGCGGTATGAAACATTGTTCTTTTTGTTTTATGATTTTTATTGTCATGAAAAGAAATATTTTATGCCCATCCGTATATCTGACAGAACTCAATGAGTAAAGCTAGAGAGGCTGGAACATCGGCCATGTGGGATAGAGAAGTTACTATAATCTTTTGTGATTTATGTGTAAGGGAGGTTGAGGTGGGAAATAGACCCACTACATTTTTTAACAAAGAAGGGTGGCGAAATATTGAAGTTAAATTCAAAGAAATGACTGGAAGAGATTACGATCGCATGAAAATGAAGAACAAATGGGATCAGTTAAAGAAGGATTGGAAACTATGGAAAGAACTAAAACAGGGATCAACAGGAATGGGCTGGGATCCTGTTAAGCGCACAATAGATGCACCAGAAGAATGGTGGGCTGAAAAACTCCAGGTGCATAATTTACTCTTTCTATTTTATGTTTAAT